TCCGGCGCGGTCTGAGCGCCTTTTGTCCATTCACAAGGGAGGCCGCCTCGGCTGAGTGGCTGGCATCCGCCGCCCAGTCCCGGAGAACAGCCAGCGCGGTCCGCGCCCCGGCAACTCCTTTTGCACGAGGGGGGTCACGCTGCCCGCCCAGCGAGCGGAGAGAGGGTTCGTCGAATTTGGAACACTCCCTTTCTTTCACGCAAAAGGCCCCCCCCCCCCCCCCGCCCGGGGCCCGCCCCCTCCCCCGTCCCGTGCCTTTTTCCCCCCGATCCACCAAAGTGTTTGCCCGGTCGGGAACTCCGTATGGCCTGACCATATTCGCCAGCGGCCTCCCGGATGCATCCCGGCCAGAGTCCAGGCGCGGGGGGGGGGGGGGGGGGGGGACGGGTGCGCCAAATTTTTAGGGTTCCCTTCCCAGTAAATCCGTCCGGGCAACCCGGGCGTGCCTCTGATTAATCAGAGCGCCAGCCGGAGACTGGCCGAGCCGCGCACACAAGTGCCGGTGCATGTGTGTGTGTGTCTGTGCGCGAACCGGGGCGCATGGGCGTGGGAGATGCCCCCTGGCGCTGGCTGGGTCCTGCCGCGAGTGAAGGGATCCACGGCACTAACTCTGGCACATCTCGGCCCCCCCCCAGAGCACACGGCTGAACCCCCCCCCCCCCCCCCCCCCCCCCCCCCCGCGCAGACGAAGGGAGAAAAAACCACCCCCGCGCCCCGTGGCCCGCCCGGGGGGGGCGGGTCGGGCCGGGCGGGGGGGGGGGAGGGGGGGGGGGGGGGGGGGCCCGGGGCGCCGAAAAGAGGGCCGCGCCCCGCCGCGGGGTTGCCCCCCGGGGGGGAGGCGGGCCCCGGCGGGAAACCGCCCCCCCCCCCCCCCCCGGGGGGGGGGGGGGGGGGGGGCAAGGCGGGTTTGGAGGGGCTCGAGCGCAAAGACAATGGAGGGGGGAAGGGCGATGTCAGAGCGCGTACGGGGACGACTTCAGCGGACATGGTTGCGTTTCCCCGTCTGGTGGAGATGGAGCAGTGTCATCGAGGAGCGGGCGAGGGGCAGGAAGTTAGCCGGGGCGTGAGGGGTGGAATTGGTCGCGCGTGCGCCCGAGCAGGGGGAGGATGTGTCGCGCGGGGATGAGAGGACAGAAAGGGAGAGAACGAGAAAGGCAGGCGGGGACGGTTCGGGAGGCGGAAGAGAGAGAGAGAGAGAGAGAGAGCGGGTGAAATAGCGCCACATACGCAGGCAAGTGGTGCCAGTTTCTGGAAAGAAGGGGAGGGGGAGGGGGAAGGAGGGGAGGGGTGGGGCCCCTCAGGCCCGGCCGTGAGGCCAGATCCCGAAAAGGTGGACCCCCCCTTGCCGTCCCCCTCCCCGAGAGGATAGCGCCCGGAGGGGGGCGGGGGGCGCAACAGCCCGGGACGGCCTTTCCCCGGGGTCCGGCCCGCGGCGCCTCGCCCACTGGCGCGCCTGTGGGCCAG